GCTGGGGCAGCAGAGTGACGGTGGGGCAGGCTGGGACAGCAGAGTGACGGTGGGACAGGCTGGGACAGCAGAGTGATGGTGGGGGACAGTTGGGTGCAGGCTGTTTTTCTTGGTTTCTGCTGAACTTAGAGGAGGCCACCAGGACCTTTAGTGTAACAGCCTCCATGGCTGTTAACTTACTCATGGTGATAATCCTTTATTAATTCTTTCATTTTAATTTTGGAGAACAAAATTGTGGATGGTGCCCTTAAAACACGAGGGCTTCAGATAACCTTAGCAAGTTTGGATTCTTATACTGAGAGCAAATGAGAACACTGTAAGAATTTTAGGCAGGGGGATGATGGGATCAGATTTAAGTATTAGAAATGATAACAAGATCGCCAATCTTTATTTGTACCTAGTATATGCTAGCCCTTTGCATGGGCTATCTTATTTAAATTTTTAAAACAGCTCTCTGAGGAAGTGCTCTTCATTTTCTTTATAGATGGTGAAGTCAAGGCTGAGAGAGACAATCTGTCCAACTTCTCGCAGTTAATAGATGGGCAGCTGGGTTTCGATCCCAGATTTGTTAGACTCCAGTTAATTATCAGCCACCACACTGAGCCCAGAATCACGATCAAGGAGGTCAATAAGATGTCATTGCCAGGGTAGGCTGTTTTCCCCCCATATGAGTCTCTTCCATCCTACCGTGCCTTATTGTTCATCCTTTGCCTCTATTTAGGCTGTATGGCAATTACATCCAAACACATCAGCCTCTCTGCTGCCCCTAGGCACACGCTGGTGTCCCTCAGGAAAGTTCACCTGTCCACCGTGCTGGCGGTCCCCAGTCCTTCAAGACTGCATCTCCAGTCCACCTCTGCTTTCTTCCCGTCCCTGATCCAATCTTGGTGATTAATGTAGGCAACCACTATCTTCCAGCACTGATCTTCAAACAAACTTTACAGCCACTAAAAGCACTCGTTTTTTTTTTTTTTTTTTTTTTTTTTTGAGACTGAGTCTCACTCTGTTTCTCGGGCTGGATTGCAGTAGTGCAATCTCGGCTCACTGCAACCTCTGCCTCCTGGTTTCAAGCGATTCTTGTGCCTCAGCCTCCTGAGTAGCTGGGATTACAGGCATGTACCACCACGCCCGACTAATTTTTGTATTTTTAGTAGAGATGGGGTTTCACCATGTTGATCAGGCT